ACAGGGGCTGAGAGAAAGTAACAAAGATTTAACCCCCACTCTTCGGTCGGTACTTTAACTGGGCACTAGTGAGCCGCGTAACCTGTTATTTATGAATACGAATACCAATTTCAAGAGACTGGCTTCCAATATGCTGAAAGGTCTCCTTCTGAACAGAACGACAGAAACGAGAGAACGTTTAGTGCATAAAATAGCCTCCAGTTCATTTTTTATGAAAACTCCTTCGTGCCCAGGAATGAGTGTTTCTCATTAATAATAAAAGCACTATACGTACAGTGTAGAAAATGTGTTGGTATTTCGGATATCTGTGAGGCAAACGTAAGCTGTTATGCCCTGCTTCTTTCCAGTTGGATTGAATGTGCCCTAACTCACATTACCGTGAGGAACTGAACTCGCGTCATCCTGGGAGAATTTCACTTATTTTAAATGAGAAGGAACGAATCCAAAGTCGATATATCGATCGAGCTTTCCACAATTTCTTCACTTCTCGAAGTTTCAAATCTCCTCATCCTGAATATGTGTGTGTGTGAAAATGTGTTTCCGACTTCCATTTCTGATGCACTGACACGGAAAGACTGCCAAAAGGTTGCTCGTCCTGAAAGTGTAGGGCCAAGGGACCTGAAGCTGCTGAGTTTTTGCTGCAGTATGGCAGTAGCTGGCACGAATAACGTTGATCAAATACATGTTTTATTCCTTATTTTCTCAATTTATAAAAATCAACTCCACTTCCATTCCTATATTCAATTTTACACCGTGTACTGAACCAGTAATAACTACATATAAATGTTCACATTACCGAAATTTGTATGAAATATTTCTTACATAATTTAGATTTTATAAACAACTTTATGAAAAAAGTTTTGTTTGAAAGAAGACTTTGCAAATGATTTATCACACACGTGATAAGTAGAATTTTGTACCGTAGAGTATCGACACTGAGCCTCCATCATCATCTTCATTATATGCATTGACTCTGAGAGAAAAAGCAAATAGTCTTTCAACTAATAGGTCCTGAAGGTTCAGTATCGTGGTCACAAGATTCCGCAAACCAGGTTCGTCTAGTCCACATCTGTCCACCCAATTTCTTCAAGGTCCCTTTGTATATTACTCGAAAATCTAATCTCTTGTTTATTAATTTCATTCTTTATGTAGTTGAAGATTTCTGTCTTCTGGGTTGCTGCGCTGTGTAGTATGGTAGATGTTTACCAACGCTTTATAGGTCATACTGCCTCCCTCATCAGGGCGCAACAACCCAGAAGACAGAAATCTTCATAGTCACCGCTGTGAAAACCTCAAATCATACTTTATATAGTTGTTCTCCTCTTGAATGCGTGCAACGTGATCAACCCATCTAATCCTATGTGATGATCTGTCCGTATATTACACAAATACATTAAATAAATGTAGTTAGCTTGGTTAATTTAATAACTAGATTTTCAGTCTAGTTTTAATAATATAGACTCTGAAACCGAAATATAGACACGTTTTCATTTCAAGTAAGGATATATATTTTAGCTTTTAATCCAGGCACTAGCATTATCACCACTGCAGTTATTATTGTGTCCCATTTAATAATTTAGTTTGTATTTTCTGCTTTATGAAGCATAAGGTGTTTTTAAAACCTTTTGTATTTCGTGTTAATCACAGTTAAACTGTGCCCAGTATTACACTGTTATGTTCCTATTTGGTTTCCATTCAGTTGTGTCATTTCAGGATTGAAATTTATATCGTCAATTCACACACACACAAACAGTGATATACACCGACTGAAACAAAAATTAATTTCATATTTTCATCAATTCGCCCTAATTTTAATATTATCCTGGCTCGACGTATGAAATTAACACAGTTCCGCTCGTTTATATCTAGCGTTTCACTAATCGCTACAAATAATTTCCTTGCCAGAATTGTGATCTGAGTTTTGACCAGGCTTTCTGTTTGGGTATGGCATCTTTCAGGGATTGAAATGTTATCGCCGTCATAAATATCGTAACGTGTTATAACGAATCATGACTTTCAGAGTGAGTGATTAAGGCCCAGATTTCAGTTAGAATTATAATCTCCTCCCTGGGAACTTTAGCCGATCTTGAATGATCGATTAATGTGCTTTTAGTAGACTCAGCTTCACTATCGATACGATATACATAATGATTTTTGCAAATCTGCGTTGTATTGTTCGCGAATACACAAACAAAGATGGCGACAATCTTAATTTATCCCGTAGGAACTGAATAAATAATTTTAAACAATTACGAGTTCTGTATTTGGTTGCAACACATTGAATTTTCAAACAACTTTCAGCGGTGTATGTAGGATCGTAATGAGGAATTTCAATAAACGGTTCTGTGTATCATAATATGAACTTTCTGATCGTGTAAATTTTATCATTTTCCCGATACACTTCCCGTCTTAAATACTTGATAAAAGTGTTTTTACAATTGAGAATTTAATATTTTCAAGGCCATAGCCAGTTGTATCTCAGTGACTTTCAATAGAAGAGTCCATTCCATCTGTTGAACTATACACCCATACGCTCAAAGAATAACTTCCATGAATCAGGTTCGTAGTATTGTAGAGAGCCTCATAATACTGCATCATCAGACAGTTTCATGGTCTATTAAAGTTTCTACCTTTCTCCCGAAGTCGAAATGAAAGCCTTTATATACCTGTTTCTCTTCCCTCTCATCCTACGCATCTTTCTCCTGCCTATCTTCTGTTTCCTTAATTGCTTTCTGCGAGATGAGAGACATGAATAAGTAATTACACCAGTGCGAACCATGCTAGGTTCTTCGGTCCCTGAGGAAATGTTTTAATAAGCTCAAAACCGAGATGTTTAGGTCGGTGACGAGATACATTAAGTTAAATCTGGGACATAGATAGAGGGTATATATTGCTAAAAGCAGGAGTAGAATCCTGAAGGATTGGTCAGTTTCAACGCCCTCTACCTTTGTCATATTCAAAGAGAGAGAGAGAGGTATTTTGTGATTAATGAAAATTCTGTGAGGATTACTGAACGCAAAGGAGCGTCTGTTTTTCTTCTTTTGGATTCCATTTCACTTCTGTCCTGAAGAGGAGTGAATACGTATTTAATTTATGATCGCCTTGATTTTGTTTAGATTATAATGATGCCCAATTAGCGAGCTTAGAAGAGCCCTATAAAGAATTTCGTGTTTAATTATATATTGGAGACAAACTTTAAATCATAGTAGACGTGCGATTATTTAAACTTTCAAATTGACTTCAGATGATCACAGATTTGAAGGCTGAACTTGCACTTTGTCCATTCTGATATATGAAAGAAAAAATTAGTATGAAGTGAGATTTGAGGTTCTCAAGGCGGCGAGTATGAATTTGGTTGTCTTCTTACTTGTTACGCCGTACAGTCTGGTAGAAGTTTACTGACGTTTCAGAGGTGATGGGTACCTCCATCTATGACCCTGATGATGGAGGTAGGAAGGACCTCTGAAATGTCAGTAAACAACTACCAGACTATACGGCGTAACAACCCAGAAGACAGCCATCTTTATGCGGTATGAGGACTGTGGTATTTTCCTTTCAACATAGGTACGACATACCTGATTCGCCGCAAGTAAAGGCCTTTCTAGTGAAATGTTCTCGAAGTGTTCAAGACTGCATGAACGCACGACGTTATATGACAAATTAAGCGTAACGTGTTACATGGTACACTGATCGTGTTGTAGGTTTATAGTATGTCAAATTAAGCTTAAGACATGGCTTGGATGTTCTGTGAGTACCATGATAGAATCTAGTAGTTTATTTAGTCGACGATAAAATGTATATTTTAATATACAACACATGAAATGGCAACTTTTATAGTTCGTGGTTAATAGAACATCAGATACGACGTGACAGACACGTAAATGCACGATCTGCATGTGAAGTAGAAAGTACGATAGGCCTGCATCATTGCAGATTGTACGTACAGAATTACACTACACAAAACATGCAGTATAACAACTTCATAATTACCTCCATGAGACGAGCTTATTATAAAAGCTGATAGTCGCTCAGCTATGAAACACGAAGTTTGGTTACCGTGGTTGCAGGAATCTGCTCCCGGCCCATGTATGAGTCAGATGAATCCATTCGACATCCTCACATTTTGTGGTAAGGATATAGCCCTAATGTTATGTCCTGTCTACTGGTGTTCGTTCCTCAGACGCGGGGAGACAGTTGCCGGTGTGTACAGACAGCTGCTCTACCGACACTGCAGATAAGCCCTTGGGCTCAAAGCTCTTGTTGATCGCGCTGTTTGGGCTGAGGCACGTGACACCGTTGGTTCAATAGACGGAAGTTCGTGAGCTCGAGTAGCCTGGACGGACTTCAACACGGATTGCAAAAAGAAAACAGAATTTTTGTTCTTTGTTGTTAGTAAAATGACTCCTATAGAAGTGAATAATGTTACGTTGACAGGTCGATCACACAATTTTTGTTTACAGTTTCAGTGTTTGTTAATAATCCACTACATATTTTGACTTTAAATGGTAATCTTCATGTAGTTCTCTTTTAATTGTTTCAAATTATAGACTTTACTGCTAATTTGTATAAATATAGTCTGTTACTGACTTCACTCGTAATAGACTGCGTCTTAAGCAGCGTTACCTGTTTCAATAGAGTTTGCTATGTAGATGTAATTACCAGCAGAAAGCTGTAGTTACGCATCGAAACTATAATCGAGAATTCTTGTCTAGACGGACTGTCAACCTAACGTTCAACACACAACAAGATGCATCTCTTAAAACTTGAAGATTTAGGTTCGAGGATAAATAGGTTTGAACTGTAGATATCAGGATTTTGTAAACACCTTGATGAAAAAGCAGGACCATTAGAGAATTCTTGAATACTTCAACAGCTATAACTGCTTAAGATAATCGTTCTTTCTTAGGGAGTTCCATTACTTCAATCATATTTTAATAACTTTTTTTTTCGGTATAGTTTTCTAATTTTAATTTATGTCTTCGTCTTCATTTTTTTTACAGGCTAATAATCAGTGCTGATGCGACAAGACACAATGTAAGTACGCCATAAACTTCTATTTATTTTTAGATTCTAGAATACCTACTAAAAGACCTTCGAAACCTGAATATTGTATCCCTGCATTTCATAATATAATTTCACGCAGATTTTCCCATAAAACTTCTCCGTAATTACGTTCTTGTTGCGTTATGTAAGTATCCATTACCGTTATATTTAACTGCATTTCTTGTGACTTCAGTGTTAATTCATAACGTTTTAACCGCTAGGCTTAAGAATTCATCTCATTTAATTTTCCAAGAACCAATTAAAAATGTATATTAAACCGGCTCATTCCTTCCGTTAGTTTAACTGAAGGTAGGCAATATACAGTGTGGGATAACAAAGCGTCTAGAGAGAGAGAGAGAGGCAGACGAGACCATGAATATGAAATGCGACGTAGACTAATGGAAACTTGAGATAAGAAATTTAACCGATTCTGTATCACTCTTGTAGTTCCATCCGTCTGTTTCTAGACCTGCTGCTGCTGTTGTCTGATTTCCTACGAGCTTAACATATTCTGTTATTCCGGCTTTCCGCCTAGTTTCTGCATAAGTATTTGTAATGTTACCTTCAATCTACCTTACTCCAATTCCCTTTTGTGATGAATTTTTCAACCTCGTTTCGTCTTAGTTATTCCCTCTCTTTTCTTGCATGTTACTATTATTTTTTTTTTCCATTTTTTTTTTTCGTTTTTGTGCATTTTCTTCATCCGTTCCGTCTTCTCGCATTTGATATGACGTCAGAAGTGTACTCTTGACAACGTTCATTCTCCTTCTGTCATGCCTTCTTCCTTTGTGTCTTCATACTTAGGTTTTCTGACGTAGCGCCGCACGCTGAATTTATAATAAAACAGTAAAGAATGTAGAATATTGTGCGAGTATTTTTGCATTCTAATAAATTCCGACTACTGGGTTACTGCTTTTCGAGAAATTGGTACTGAACTATTTCTTTTTTAATTTACATAACTACGAAAATTAAGAATGACAGCATTAATTCTTTGAAGCCTGCTGTTAAGATAATGCATCACTTGCTTTAATGATCAGAAACTGCATTTTTCCCACAGAGTTTGCTCCTTTTAGATGATTCCCAGAATTAACAGTTGTTATATTCTTAAACAGCGTTAACCACTTTGGGGACGTGTTGTGTGTTTTGCGGTAGGGACGAAGTGTTTAAATATTGTTCAAACAAGCTTTGGCTTCAAAAGGTTCAGTTTCCTGTTCGTAGCCTTTTCAGCGTTTTAATTTATTAATTTTCTTTGTCGTTCACTATCTACAATATTTCTTGATCATTGCGTAGGTTTCTATTCCATGTTTTATAACTTTCATTAGGGCTACCTAAGTGAGAATCAGCTCATCAGACTGAATTCTATAACGAATTATGTAACACCTAACGTAACGTTTGACTGTTAATACTCCTGCTTCGTATTAAAAAGGTCCTCGGTTTAGATCTCGGCCCGAAGATCATATGTTCTGACCGAGACTGTTTCTTGGTTTTGCCAGTCCCTTCCATCAAATGCCAGAATAGTACATGAAATTAGAATACTATCGCTTCTTTGCATATCCTTCAGAGTTTATTGTTCATTAAACATCCATAACTCGACGCTATATAGATTTAGCTATTGACAGCGTCATTAAGTAATCACAGGTCTGAAGTTAATCCTTTCACATAAATCTATTCGACGCTGTGCAGTCTTCAAAGTTCCTCTTCAGTAAGTGAACGCATGGCTCTTGGCAGCGTCTCTTTCGTTTTCCAACTGTACAGTTTCGGGTTGTGATAACGCAGTAGACATGCATGCAAGAGGTTCCGACTATCTTAAAAGTTACCGTAGCCACGATGCTAATGCAGTCTGATACACGACCCGGGTTATACGATGCCGGATAAACTATTCCTCTCAACTCATCTTTCAACTACATAAGTAACTTGGTTTATTAAAAATCAAGATGCGTTGCTTACAGATTAAGCAGCTTTTTTGGCTTGGCCATCTTTCCTGTGGAGCTAGAATTCAATTACGAAGCGGACAGACAAGCAGAGACGTCTGGAAGCTGAAGTAATAACAACGCTCAAGCAATAATTCACACCTTTCAGTGATATTGCTCTTTCTAGCATTTTCCTTTCTCTGTGAGACGAGGTCACACAGGCCCTCCCAACGGTTATTTTTATTATAAGGTGTTTTCTTCTACCCGAGTCTCAAATATCACTCCGCCGTATTATTTCCCCCTCTAATCTTAGTATATTATACCTTAAGAGCTTTTAACCTTTTAAATAAGATCTCTGTCTTAATGCATAGAATTGCTTCTTAAATTTTTTTGTATCTGAGACGTCTAGGGCAAATCTCCCAGAATACGTGTAGAGAGGTTTACTTGACAGTGGCGTCCTCAGAACTTTGATCTTTTCCCCAGAATTCTCAAACGAAAAGTAGTTCTAAAATATCTCACATTTCCTCAACTACTTAATTTATTGAAGATTTCTGTCTTCTGGGTTGTT